CATGCATCTACCCATCCGTCCATCCCTCCATCCCCCATCCCTCCATCCCCCATCCCTTCATCCAGTATTTGCTGAGGGCCTACAACATGCCTGCACTTGCTGATCGCTCTACCTCGAACCCTCCCTCTGGTCTTCCCACGGCTGCCGCTTCCCATCCTTCAGGAGCCAGCTTGAGTGAGCCCCCGCTCACCATGCGTCTGATACTGCGGCCCCCGCCCTCCCCGGCCCCCCGCCCAGCTCTGTGTCTGACGGTGCCACTAGGCACCAGCTGCACGTTGCTCGTTCTACTCATCGTTCTCGTCTGTGGTGTGTCTCCCGTGCTGAGGACGGGGAGTTTTGTCTGTCTTATTCACTGCTGACTCCCAGTACCTGAACAGTCCCTGGCACCCAGTAGGACTGGGTGCTTATGAGGTGCATGAATGAAGAGAAGCTGCCATGGGTGGGTTTGCCTGTGAATGTCCAAGGAGGACCCCCGACCTGCTATTTGTCACCCCCAGAGCCGGCTACCTGACTCTCTATGGAATTGAGGCGTTGCCACGCACCCCCCAGAGCCAGGCCCAGGACCGTGTGCACTCAGCCGACGTCTTCCACACCTTCCGCCAGCTCGACCTGCTGCTCCCCAAACTGGCTCGTGGCTCCCTGTCAGTGGGTGAGCACCACGAGGGTCCCAGTGGGCGGTGGGGAGGATGAGAAGACTCAGAGGGGGAGTCCAAGCTCAAGGTGAAAGATCAGAGGCAACACAGGAGGAAGGACATCCTAATGCCCTGGGAGGCAGTAAGATCCCTGTCACTGGGGTTATGCAAGAGCACAATGACAGGGAGGTAGGGCTTGGACCAGACCTCGAGTTCCTGGTGAAAATTCTGATTCAGCACATCTGGAGTGGGGCTTGAGAATCTTAGTGTGTGCATGTTCCTTTTTTTGTTTTAATATTCGAGTTGCTTTTAAAAATTTTACAAGTAGTTCATATTTGTTATAAAAAGTTCAAGTCACATAGAATAATTTAGAGGGATTGATAAAAGAGTTCTCCACTTTCTCCCCATCCTCAATCCACCACTTCCCTTCACAGAGGCAGCCACTATCGTGAGCATGGAGTATATCCTGGCAAAGCTTTCTCTAAATACACACACACAGAATTGTGTGTTATTTTTATTGTTTTCTATTTTTAAAGATTTTTCTTTCTTTTTTAACTGAGGTATAATCTGTGTACAGGAAAGCACACAGATCCTAAATGTGCAGCTGAGAGGTAGAGCTAAACATTTCATACCCTTTCCCAACGGATATTCACCTCGGAGGTAGCCACTGTACTGGTTTCTTTCACCTCTGATTCGTTTTGCCTGTTCTTGAACTTCCTATAAATGGAATCATGCAGTATGTGCCCTTTTGTGTCTGGCTTCTTTTACTCAAACTTAATGTCTGGGAGATTTATCCCGGTTGTTATACGTATGAATAGTTTGTTCTTTTTCATTGCTGTATAGTATTTCACCAGAGTAATATACCACCGTTTATCTGTCCAGTCCTCAGTTGGTAGACATTCGAGTAGTCCCCAGTTTGGGGCTGTTATGAATTAGGTGGTTGTGAACATTCTCACGTATCTTTTGGTGTACACACGCCCTCATTTGTCTTAGCTGTTGGCCCTATGTGTTCATAACATAGACGTATTATGCTGGAAGAACTGTTCTGCCACTCAGAGCTTCCACCAGACTCCACGTCTAGAACATTTCCACGTCAGTTTGTACAAACCCACCTCATTCGTTTTTGTGGTTGCAGAGGGGACTCGGTGTTGGTAAAGAGCCCCCCCAACTGGTTCAGTGTTCAGGGGCCATGGGCACCACTGGGCCGCACTGTCCCCTGGGCCGTGTGTCTCAAACTTCCCTAATGGGCAGAATCCTCTTGGGCCTTTGTTGATAATACGGGTCCCCGAGCCCCATCCAGGTCCATCTGGATCCAAATCTCCAGGGAAGGGTCTGGAAACAAAACAAAAAAAACCCAGACATCTTTCTAGCCCTTGCATGGCTGTTCTAGTATTTAGTTAACCATCTCCCTCTGGTGGATATCTGTTTACTTTCTTTCTGTTTTTCTTTCTGTCTGCCTGTCTTTCTTAGTTTTTTTAAAAAACATTTCATTGTACTTGTATCTGTTCTACCATCAGGTGATTTTATTTCTCTCTGACAGCATCCTGGAAGTGGGTTTGCTGGGTCAAAGGCTATACACATTAAAATTTTTATCAGCTTCTTCTACATCATTTCTAAAACCACAGAGCAATTCCTGTGCCTGCCCGAGGGGAAGAGTCTGCCCCGCCAGATGTTATCAGTCTTTGCACTCGTTTGCCAATCTGATGGGCAGAGGCGGTAACTTACGGTTTCAATTTGCGTTTTCCCGCAGCCTTGCCAGTGAGCAGTCATCAGCCTTTAAATCCTTGTCAATCTGATGGGCAAGACAGGGCATCTGGCTCTAGCAGCATTTCCCTGGCTTCTGTGCTGAAACATCTTTCTGTGTTTCACTAGCCGTTTGCGTTTCCTCTGTGCGAGCTGCCTATTCCTGTCCGTTTTTAGACGCAACTCATTATCTTATCAAATCCTGCCATCGGGGCTGGGAGGTTGGTAGTCCCATACCCACTTTGCACATAGGAAACTGGTACTCAGAGAGGTGAGATCGCTCGCTTGTAGACACACAGCTAGTAGGTGGCAGAGCCAGTAAAATGGAAACTTGTCTGTCTGATTGCAAAATCCTTTACGTAAAGCGCCTGCCGCATCCTAGCACTCATGGTTTCTCCAGGAAAAAGTGGGTTTCTCTACTGCCCTTTCCTCTACACAGATGCTCCAGGAGAGTGTGGATAAATGCAGAGGGACCCCCCCATCAGTCTGGGGGCAGCCCTGGGCTGGGTATAGGAAGACTGCATTTCCCTGTGTGGGCAGCAGGTGGCGATGTTGGAGGACAGTTTCTCATCTTAGTTGGGGCCCGAGGCGTGTGAGCGAAGCGGCTCTCAGACCTTGCGGGGAGATGTGTGAAGCCGCGCAGCCTCTTTTGCAGAACCTACTGAAATATAAAATGCACCTTTTGATCCTGTACCTCCACTTGTAGGAACTTATCCTACAGAAAGGATTGCACACGTACATAAAGATATTCATTGTCACGTTGCTTATAATAACAAATACTAGAAACGATTTCCGTGTCTACCAGTAGAGGTGGATTACGTAAATGA